AAACTCCTCCTCATCGTCATAGATCACATATGACCTGGGCTGCGGTGGCTCCAATGGCACACCGATAAAATCGATCTGATCCTGTCCGTGTTGTCTCGGTTGTGGTGGCAGTGGTGGTCCGCCCGGCGCCTGGCGCAGATATTGCGGCGGCGGCGCCGGCTGCGGATAATGCGGCTGATGCTGATGCGACAGCGGCGTCTGCCGGCTGCTGTATGTGAAATCCGAGCTGGGCGTATGGCAGACGATGGGCGACGGCGTCGGCGACAGCTGAAACGAGCTGGTCGGCTGGCCGCCATACGAGTTCTGATGATGCAGCGGCTGCTGCAGCGGCGCCGGCCGATACGGACGCGGCGCTGGCGCTGCTCCGTACGGATAGCCCGCTGGCGGCTCGAACATGCCCGGCGGCTGATACGGCGCTGGCGACTGATTGCCGCCGGGCCATTGTGGACGCGGATGCGGCATATTGTTGTTGTTGTTGCTGCTGCTGCTGCTGCTCATGGGACGCTGGCCGCGCAGCTGCGGTGCCGGCGACATGGCATGCCCATAGGGACGCGGTCCGGATATGATGGGCGGCGGACTGGGCGCTGTTGTCCACGGCGACGGCGGCCGATACAAAAATGATGAGGGCGACGGCGAGGCGGCATTGGGTGCACGTGGATTCCAGCCACGTGGTCCATGGCCAAACGGCGGCGGCGGCGGCTGTTGCTGCCCGGACATTATTTTTTCACAGCTATCACAGCCTTTCGTTGGGTTCACTTATTTATGTTGGGTTCTATTACTTTGACGCTAGGCTGACTTCAGGGGAACTCTTTCTTATTTATTGGATGGGCATATTACACTGTGAGTACAGAAAAGATAGTTACACTTCAACTTGGGAGTTTGTTTAAAAGGAAAAAGTAGAAATGGATAGCTAAAAGATGCTCTCCATTCATCAGCAGAGCCTAGTCTAGAAGGTTGCCCAGTGCAGGTTATCTTTCTCTTGATTCCACAGGACAGTCTAGCCTAGAAGGTTGCCCAGTGCAGGTTGTCTTTCTCTTGATTCCACAGGACAGTCTAGTCTAGAAGGTTGCCCAGTGAAGGTTGTCTTTGTCGGCACAGTCTAGTCTAGTCTAGGACTGTCTCGATTCTTCAGCACAGCCCAGTCTAGTCTAGTCCAGTCTAGTCTAGTCTAATTTGTACTCCCTAGGTACACGTAACTCTCACTCACAAACTGAACCGTATTAGCCAGCGATCACCTGAGCCAGCAACCCAATTCTGTCAATACACAAATAAATCATGACCTATTCCTAAAATTCGTAGTCTCTCGGCTCTGATGAAATTGTGCTATTTTCCAACGGAAGTGGGCTAAATGTTTATCTGATTTTTCGCACTCGATTTCGATGCTTTTCTTTCATTCTTATTCGACTTTTTTAAAATTGGCGCTGACGCCATCGCAAGCATTTTTCTTTTTTTTGTGTGTGGCGGAAAGTGTTCGCTTTTAAGTTGCCAATTTTTTAAAGATTTCTTTTCTAGTTTAGTTGTCACACCGCGTGTGTTTAGCATATACTTTAGTGGCACATAATTTACACTCTATGATTATTAATATCGTGCAAAATACTAGAACGCAACGGAGCACAGCCAGATTAGCTGGCTGTCAACATTTTGAAGGTCTCTACGCAAACCCAAACGTGTGTGATATATGCTCTCGAGTGCCGCATGGCACACGGCAAGGACATAAATACTACACATGCCGCCTGGCCAAGTCGACTGATATCATTCATAAACATAGTGTGGAAGATGGCGAAATATCATTTATTATTATATATAATATACATATATTCGAAAACTTATTCGCTGATCTAACTTAATTGCATTTCGAGTGAACTCAATAGAAGCAAAGAATTTCAAAAATTATGAAAGTGAAATTGGCAAAATAATGAATAATTTCGCAATAAGAAGCAATGTTTCTTTTTATTAGATACAGTAAGCACTCGCTAAAGAAAATAGTAATTTGTTTTAGTTAAGTTATTTTTAAGTAAATTCTATTTCAGATTCTAGAATTCCAGAAGATATAATATAAAAAAATATATAATCGAAAATTGAAACGTTTCGAAAAATTCGAATTTCTGGAATATCCTTTCTAATAAAAATATTAAATATACTAAAAATTGCTATTCGAATTTCGAGTTTCCAGAATATAAATATATTTATATACTTCGAATTTCTGGAATCTTCATGTTTTTTTATATTTTTTTTTAAATAAATATTAAAAATATATTTTTTTTATATATACATTTTAAATCAAAATTAAGTCTTCATAATTTAAATATTAAATTTGATATTTAAAACTTCTATTTTGGCCGGAAATGAAAAGAGAATATTCCCCAAAAATAAAATATGTTAAAATTAATAAATTAAAAGAATTAATTTAATAAATCAAATCCATTAACATTTTAAATCTAATACCTGAGCGAACACTAAAAAATGTCAAGTATTTTTCTAATCAATTTCGAAAAGCAAATAAAATAGCTAAGTAAAATAAGTGAATGTTTTTGCTAGCCAGTTTCTACTGTGGCAATTTTGCCGAAAAAAAGAAAATTCCAAAAAAACTTTAACGTTCCTCATCTGCTCTCAATATGCAGCAAATTTTTCTTTTAATGTCCAGTGGAATATGATAATTTGCACAGTGTAGGCGTGCTATAGATCAGTTCCCAAAGCACATTTTCCGCAGCGGAAAAACCATGCAGACTTTTCACTCTTGCGGCGGCGGCGGCGGCGGCGGCAACGGCATTGCGTTGGGTGCTTTCGAATGGATTCAAAAATAGAAATGAACTCAGTTCGTTAAACTTTTGCTCGGAAAAATCATGCTGAGCTGCTATTGCCGAGTGCAGCATGCTTCGATTCTCTTTCAACCCAACCCCCAAGCCCCACAGCCTCTTCGTTCCTGAAGTGGGTGAGCCCCCTCTTAATTGCCATCCATTTAATGGTGTTTTAATATAATTGCTTTAAGTGCACTCGCATTAACTAGCACATGATTAGATACAGTTTTCTTTTTTTGTTTTTTCGTCAAGTGGAAAACGTGTTTTTCCACGTTTTTCATTTGTATCTCTCGAGAAAAAAACAATGCTGCGATTATGTAATCCGTTTTTTAGTTGTGTGTGTGTTTGAGCATTGGAAATTGAGTAATTGGAACCAACCATTTAGAGAACTAAACACGTTATTCGATTTATATATTTTCGAAAAGACACAAGACACAAAAATCGGCTTTGATTATACTTGAATAATATATATCTTTCTATATATGCACTTGTATATATAGGCGTATATATGTATTATATGTGCTGTGAAAAACTTTCGATATTTGTTGAGGAAAAAACCGAGAACAACACTCGACGAGCACGAAACACTAACTGAATCGGCCGCACAAACGACAGCGGCCAAATTGTTGATCTTGAGGTAAATTCAAATCTAGGAAAATGGGGAAAATACTTTGCACGAACATGCTCCTCGGCAACGCCAACGTCAAACTCACCGAACTTTTCACCGAGACGCCTCGAGGCTCTCTCTAGCCGGCAATTTTGAAGAGCGCGCATGCTCCCAGGGAAGATTTGGGCTTTCTTTCTTTGTTTACACATCGCGTTCTAAACAAATCGGATGCCAAAAGCGAATGGACAATCAAAATGGCGCCAATTACGAAACGTGCAAGAAGCGCAGACGCGAGCCGCTTACAAAGCGCCAGAATCAAATATTCCCAATTTCCTCAAATGTTAGCGCTGTGATCTCTTGAAGCATTAAAATAAAGGTTAAAAATTATTTATTTGTTGGCATACAAAACCAAAAACGAAGGGTAACAGTTATTTATTTGTTTGCGTGCGAAACTTACGTATATAAACAAGTGTACCTAACAGGCGCTACTTTGCAGGAACTGCATCCAAATTCTTGTTGCAACGTGCTTCAAATAATGCTTATCCGTCGTTGTTTTAATTCGCAATTCAATAAATTAACAATATTTATATTTCTTGCGAACTTAAGAAGGCTTTTCAAGTACAGTTCCAATACGAACTTTTGTACTTGCCGCATGGACACACTTTGCCATTCTATCGATATATCGGTATTTTATATCGGTTCATGCGATTTGTCTGACCAACTTGTTATCGATATAAGGAATAAAAATGTATCGTTATATCGGGGCGTTTGTCAACTTTTCCAACATGTCATAAGTCAGTGGAGTAAATAAGTAGACAAAATCAAAGTAAAAGAACAACATCTGGAAATTATTATCTGACGTGTTGATTATAATTACTTTATTTCGAGTCTGTCTTTCAAAAATATCAATCGTTTTTTCGGAAGCTTAGTTGCCCACCAATTTAAATGTGCTGTTAAACGGGGAGCACAAGTGGCTGAACTTTGACAACATTTTCTGTAGTCAGCTACGATGGCATCTACATTCTGTTAGCTGGAAGCTACGCAGTTAACTCGCATGAGGAGCATAAGCTGTAAAGTACAAATATTTATGCCACACAGCTTCTGTCAGATTACAAGCCTAAGGCGCCATCTACAGCTTAGTATTGACATATTGTCAGACAGCCGTTAACATGCCGCCAATTTAAATTTGAATTCAAAATTCGATAATTCGTTGAAAAGTAATTTGTAAACAAACTTTAGCATATTTGTATCTAAAAAATAGACTTGATTTATTCAAAGAAAATGCGATTTATATTTTATTTGCATTGAACACACAACATGCTTAAAGACTTTATTTATTTATCGTTATCGATTTATTGCATTGTATATCTTGTCAACATTTTTCTGCTTTTAAGCATTATTTTGCCATGTTTTTAGTACAGTGTTTGCATTTATTGCATTGCTTACACACTAATTAATAATTATTAATTAATAGAAATTAGGTTCACAAATTTATGATATTTGTTGTTGCTGTTGTTTTTTTTTTTTATTGTTAATTGTTCATTGAGGTTAGGTTTAATTGAAAGACTATTAAAACAATATTGCATTTAGATATATTTGTTGTCATTTTGTATTTTATTTAAATGGTTTTCAAATTGATCTACTCTTGATTGGCAACATCTTTGGATTAAATGCAATTTACAATTACTTGTGGGGGGAGTAGAAAGTATATCAATTTATATTGAATGGGCGTAAGTGTGTGTGTGTATTGTATTTGAGTGTTGGCTAAGCGCATTTTGCTCGCATCGAGTTGAAATCTGTAAATATATTCCTCTATATGTATACATATATTGTGTTATTATTGTTAGTATTGCGTTTTAGCATTTAGTTAAATTTGTATTTATTTTTATTTGCTTTGCATAAACGTTTCTGTTGCTTTCTCATTTGTGACACGCAAAAACAGTGTTGTAAATTACAAAAATATATCTCGTTTTCTTGTTGTTGTGGTTTGCTGTTGTTGTTGTTTTCAAACTTAAGCACTAAAACCCGAAGAAACAACACATTAAATGGTTTGCCATATACCATACACATGTATCCAGATCCAGATATACACATATATGTTTATTTCTTATTACAATACAAAAGGTACGAAAGGCGCGACAAATTCCACATAGCTTCCGTTCAGAAACCAGCAGAATTTACACTAAAAATTGACTTAATTGTGAAAGGTAAAGAAAAACCAAATGATTGAATCGTTAAGAAGTTCCAATTCTTACTGTCTACATTGCAGAATCTAGAAAGTGTTTATAATTTTTTTTTTTAGATTTTCTTTTTTTCATTTTTATTTATTAACTTTTTCGTTTTTGTTGTTTTTTTTTTAGCATAATAGGAAAACTTGAATTGAAAGCGGCAACTAGCACGAGTATCTGTTACTTTGTTACTTTATCTGTTTTTTTTTTTTTATAAGTGTATAATGCATTTTCATTATGTTATTAGGTTGGAGGTTTCTTAATAGATATATGTATATGTTTATTTTCTATTCGGCGCGACAGAGCAGCGAGGCAAAGCGAAAGAGCCGCATCCAGCTAAAGAGCTTCGACTCGATGAGATTCTCCTCCGCCGTCGAGGTGGTCATCGAGACCCTGGACGTATTGGAGGATTTACTACTTCGTTTCTGCTGCATGATCCTGGGCGAGCTCATCTTCATAATCGAGTAAGTCGTCTTGACTGCTTGATGGGCGCACGCCTCAACGGGGCGTGGCAACGGGCACACAATCGTGTAAAGCAAACGCACGAGCTGCAAAAAAGAAAAGCGTATGGGAATTAGTGTATGTATAAGTCAAGTGCTGTTCCAAGTGCTCCAAGTGGCCCGCCAAGAGTGCCTCAACCGAAGAGCCACTGAGGATGCGGCATGCGTATTATATGGAGCGTGACATTTGGACGGCTGTCAGCGATTGCCACAAAGCCCTCGGCTCACAAGAGCCAACTGCCAACTTTGTTTATGCTTTATTGACTATTTCAGCCCACTCCCCCCATCCAATTTCCGCGTCAATTGCCATCAAACTGATCTGACCTTGCCCGCTCTCCAGTTCTGTCGGAAATTGTGGCATGCTCCAGTTTCCAAACCCAAACGAATGTTCGCCAGAATTAAGCGCTTCAATGACAGACTCAACGGTTCGTTAAGAATATAGTTAGGCAAATTCATGCACATACATATGTGTCGTGTTCTCATTCGTGACACGAACAACACGACGTGTTCGTGCTAACAAATTTAATTTATAGCGTGTTCGTGTTCGTGAAAGCCGTGACAACACGCGTTCTAGAGTTATACAGGTTGAAAAATCTAGCTAAGGAAATTTTGTTATAATTTAAATTAAATATTATTAAAGAATCTTTTAGATTGATTTTTTTAAAATTCAAATAGGAAAATTGTAAATACTCGTTGACTTTTAAACGCAAGAAGCAATATCGAGGTTTACTGAATAATAGAAAAGACTAATATTATTCAAAAAGCTTCCCAATATACACAATTTTGAAAAAATGCCTATACGAAAATATTTCTTTTTCGATATAATTTAATTTATATATTATAGCTTACGCTAAGAAGGGGCTTTGGGAAAGTCCACCCGCAAGTGTGGAAAAATCGCAAAAAACTGTTGTATACAACTTTTTTGTTAACTAACCGAACAGCCTTAAACTCATTTCCAAATATCCTTGTGAATCTTTATTTGATACGTGTCTCGCACTTTTCGCAAATCCACCCCTGTTGGATGAGAAATGCGGGTCAAAGGTTGAATGAACGAAAGTTTACTTTTCCGCTTCAAGCTGCACCCCACGTAACTAAATTGGGCGGAAAACTTATGGTTCCTTGTGCGATGGAATTCAAACTCATTTTCAAATATCTGTATAAAATATAACTTGGAATGTGAAGTTCCTCAAGCGGAAAATTGATATCTACAATTGAAAATAGGAAACTTGGGGAATTGTCAGGTAGTATAAATATATATAAAAAAATATATTAATATATACAGACAAATATATATACATTTATACATACACATATGTATATATATATATATATACTAGCAGGTATAACCCGGCCATGCCCGTGGCGCATATAAAATAAATCTTCTCAAAAAGCTTTAAAAATGATTTATATGATTATATAGAGATACATATTTATAATCCAATATATATATATTTTTGCGACTCCGCGTGTTGCTCGCGTGTTTCCAAATCGTGACTCGTGCCCTAATAGAAAAACTCAGCACGCGCACATCTCTATTGTGTAAGCATGTGAATATACATATGCATATGTGTATGTATGTGTAATATATGTGTGCGTGTGTGTGTGCCAATGTTTTCACTAATTGACTGAAATCCTGCCGAACACAGTTCTACGTCATTTGCAATTATGCAATGCAATCGACACAATCTAAAACAAACTTTGCCCCTCCTCACCCTACCTCACCTCACCCACCCCCTGGCACCACTTCAGCCTCTTTGCTGCCCACGCCGTGTGTCGCCGGGTCTCGCAGCGCTGCAAATTAATTTCAATTCTCATTTAAGTTTTACAATCTCAGCGCTTTTCAGTTTCCAAACACACAAACTGTCGACGACGACAACTGACAACAACAGCAGCAACAACAACAACAACAACAACAGCCAAGAAAGAAATATGTGTCATACAACAACGACAACAACAACAACAACAACAACAACGACAACAAATGCAACAGCTGAATGTGTAGACCACGCGACAAAGTTTTATTTATTTATGTTTATTTTTTTGTCAACAGCAAATACGAAATTATTTTATATATTGCTTTTTAGTTATTTTGTGTTTTGAATATTAAAACACAACATTTGCGGTTTTTTAATACCCTGCACAAATGGGCTTGGAAAAGTGATTTAGACGTATTCACTATAATTATAGTTAAATTTATCGCATGTACAACAGATATTAAAAACGAATTTAATTGATGTGATATAATAGATGTCTGAAATGACGAATAGAACACAATGTTGAAAGGAAAAGTACCTAAAGCAGCAACATTTTAATCAATTTTATTAAATTCAAAGTTTTTCAAGCTGTATTTAACAAGTTTACAATAAGGTTTTGAGGGAAACAGGTTTAAAAATCAGTTTTCCAGTTTTAAACAAACTCAAAAATATATCAATTAAGCTTTACGCTGAGCTAAAGCAAAGCGTAAATCGAACAAGATGTTCTGGTTTAAACCCAGATTTTATTTGAATATTTAAAAATAATATTGTAACTTATTTTTAGCTTCTTTCATTGCAATTAGCATAGTCTCAGTATGTCAAAAGCTAATACCAGTGAATAAAAAAAAAATAGTAATAAAGATAATTGAAAGCCTGCTTTCCAAAGGCGTGTTAATATCTAGAATCACATTATCTTATGGCTCCCATAGGAAACATCTAACGTAAAAGAGCACTTTTTATAGCTGCAGAGTATTTAATCTTCGGCAGCCGATAGAGATGCAATTACATCTTGTTATTTCTCATTTGAATTCGCTAGAAAAATATCTTGGCTGCAACGTTATCCATTCCATTTTTCTTTGACAAAGACATTTGGAATTGGGGAATGGAAATGGGATTGGGAATTTTTGGTTTTGTGTTGCGCTTTAATCTTGCGATGCGAGTTATGCAGCAGCTGCTGCGGCTGCTGTCGCTGCCCACGCGGCTGCCAGCCGCCCCGTGCCCCCCACCCCTACCACTTTGCCATTGGTTGACACTTTGTCGCCCAGTTGTATTCGGTGTTTGTGTGTGTGTGTGGCAAACAAATGATGGAGCTTTTCCCTGGCCAAGAGGGGGCGAGCATTTGTTTTATTGCATTTGCCGTTAGCAGCGGGACGTATACGTGATGTTTTTATTACCGTTAAATTAAAAGCAGAGGCGAATGGAGATGAACTGGTGATACTTATCAATCGATGAGATGCAGGGAAACGGGGAATTCACTCGCTTGGGCACATAACTTGTGCCGCGTGTCTGTGGGCGCCGGCTGCCTTAATTTACGAGTGCCTAGTGTCAAATTCCAATAGGAATCGATGATTAGGCATGAACAGAACACTAATTTGTGGTGCCTATAAATATATGCGGTCTGGCAACCTCTGGCTCACATTGCAGCGAATTGGCGCCTGTCTCTCCCTCTCTCTCTATCTAATTGGCTCGTGTGTGCCGTCACATGGTCACACTGACCCAATTGGCTGGCAACTCTTCAAGTGCTAACTGCAGTTTGAGCCAGTGCCAAACTCAATTATCAATTTGCGCTTTTCATTCACGAAGCCCCTGGCCACGTTTCTATTTCGTTCAGTTTCAATTGCCAGAGATGACGCGCGACGCATTCGTTCAATTGACAGCAGCAGCCGCAGCCAATGCAGCAGCAGCAAAAAGAGGCAGCGCGCAGTGAGAGGCAGAAAAAGAGCCAAGGGGCTTACATGTAAGCTATAGGCTGCATATGCACAGTTGACTTAGTTGCTTATCCCAGTTGGAAACTTGACAAAGACGTGGCCTTCAACTGGTTGTCATTTTGCTGACATCGCAGTTCGCTCGGCACGGCAGGCTTGTCAGCTGGCAGGACACGCTGCATGACTTGTCAGCAGCATATACCACGAGCGCCCTAATTTTGGCTTGCTTTCAAATAGGAAAAAATGTTTTCTTAGTTCAATTACACTGGGTTGTAGTAGCAGAGAACTTAGACCTTATGCTGTTACTATCATTGAAAGACTTAATCAAATTATCATTAGAGTTTGAGTTACAGAGTAGCAAAGTTTTGTTTAAGGAAATCCTCCTTCGTAAATTATATATCGCTAGCAACTTTTCTTTACTACTAAGCTCAACTTTATTTTATTTTTTGTGTTTGTATTGTTTGTTGTAGCGCCACAAGCGCTGACATGTCACTGAGCTTGTCACGTAAGCTCATCATATGCATGTCATTGAGAACCAGATTTCCCACTGGGTGGGGTACATTTATTTTTTTTATTGCCTCTCTCTCTGCTGACAACTGCTGATGATTGCAATTGCATTTCAAATGCGTTTGCGTTTTCTGTTATCAAAAGCGTGCCAATTGAGCGCCAAACTGACTGACATAACCTCACACAATATATATACGCACTATCTGTGTGTGTGTCTGTGTGTGTGTGTTTTCTTGTTCCACATGTGACATCCGTCTTAATGAGGCTTCAATATCACTTGTCAAATGTGCGCTGCTGCTGCTGTTGTTGTTGTTGTCGCTTTGAATTGAAAATGAACAAGAGGCGGGCAATTGCATGACAGATCTACGCAGCTTTTTTATACGCACACAGATGTATATATATATATGTATGTGTGTATATATATAGAAGTGTGTCTAATTGGGTCGTTTCTCTAGAGAGCCACATCTAACACCAAACACGACGAACTTGAACGCCTTGACAAAAGCTTTTCCAGCCCGTTCATGCGCCTATTACATGAGCAAATCTTACTGCGATCTCTGCTGCTGCCGCTGCTGCTGCTGCCGCTGCTGCTGCTGCTGCCTCTGCCGCTGCTGTTGCTGCTGCGGTTGCTTTTGGGCGCGCCATGAGCTCAACAACTCACAGAAAATGACATCAGAGACGCGCTTGAACAGCAGTTACCAGTTCAACTTGAATTGGCAGCTCATAAATATTTACAATGATAATCGTAGCAAGCACACACATACACACACACACACACACACGCGCGCAAGGGTTTAAAGATAAATTTTCATGTTAAGCAATTGCAAGATGCGGGGAAAACCCGCATTTATATTCAAAGCAA